GAAAGAGAATTGGAAATGTGAAAGACAGAGAGCAGACAGAAGTGGGCCACAAGGGTCTCTGTTAGTGAAAGCAGCAGCAGTCTGAAAAAAGTTGAGTAAACTTCTGAGAGAGTCCATGCTCTGATAACTCTCTCCTCTCTTAGGTTCTTTCTGTCTCTCTTTTCAAAATCACTGTGTTGACTGAAATTTGAATGGATAAGAAAGATGAACACAGACATAAGTCATGTCTTCATATATCTGAAAGTGTGTCCCTGAAATTCGGCTATCAACAGGACTCTATGTGCTGTAAAATTTTTGTGTGTCTTCTGATTGGGATCAAATTTTCAGTTTTGTTTTCAATACTGTTCTCTTGTCAGTGACTCTCATCTCTAGTTTAGTCAGTGTCGTAAAGGGAAAGACATTCAGAAAAATTCACCCCAGACACTTTTAAGCATACTTGATCAGATCAGGTTTGAGGAGGTCCAACCCAAATCCTTGAAATGAGTCTTTTGCTGGTTCTTCACTAGAAAACCTACTTTTATTAGGAGGCCTTGGGTTACGTTTGTGACTCTTACTCACCTGGTTATCTGAAACAGCTATTTTAATGTCCACTCTGTACATTTGTGAGAGATCACTGACTTTCCCCTTTGCAGTCTTCAGGAAGTTGTGTCATGGATAGATAAGGGAGACAACAGAATCAGCATTTGGTCTCCCCTCTAATCCACAGAAAACATTTTTAGAGGACTGGGACACACTTTTTGTTTAATATAGATGCCTAGCTATGTAAAAAAAAAAAAAAAAATCAAAGTTTGAACAAATAATTTAAACAATATGCTAGATATTCCTCAGCTAATTTGGTCATGCTGGCATGAAAGGAAATCTCCCAAGTATGTAACACTGCTTAAGTACTGAGGGATCTGCCTCCAATTCTGACAGGTGTACTTCAGTAAGCAGTGTTATGTTGCTTTCCCTTGCATGATTGTCTTGATTCTTCATCGGGAGTGAAAGAGCAGGTGACTAGAAAGAGCTGGCAGTGAGTTTGCAAGGTTCCCCTTTAAAGAATGCTGACCCTTCTTTCAGTTCATTGTCAACTGTTTAAAGACCAATTTAAGTGCTTCCTCCAGCTCAGTCCCTGAACTATTTGCTGAAAGAAGAAAATATGATATGCCAGAGGAAGGGTCACTCCATTCTAATGTAGCTTCTTACACTCTTGAGCATCTGCTACTGCCTGGTACCAATCATGAATATCACTGGAGAAGGAGGTCAAGTTTGAGACCGTCAAAGGAACCTGAAGATGCACAGATCCATAGAACCTGATGAGTTGCATCTGCAGGTCCTGAGGGAACTGGTGGACAAAGTTATTAAGCCACAATCCATCATATTTGAGAAGTTCCCACTGACTGGAAAAGGGAAACAACCCCTATATTTAAAAAGGGAAAAAAGGAAGACCCAGGGAAGTACAGGTCAGTCAGTCTCACCTCTGTGCGTGGCAAGATCGTGGATTGGATCCTCCTGGAAACTATGCTAGGGCACATGGAAAAGGAGGAGGTGAACATGACTTCACTAAGGGTAGATTGTGCCTGACAGATTTGGTGGCCTTCTGTGACAGGGTTACAGCGTTGGTGGATAAGGGAAGAGCAGCTAACATCATCTACCTGGACTTGTGCAGAGCATTCAACACCACCCTGCCTGACATCATTGTCTCTATAAATTTGGTGGGTGGACCATTCAGTGGATCAGGAATTGGCTGGATGGTTGCACTGAAAGAGTCACTGTCAACAGCTCGATGTCTAAGTGGAGACCAGTGACGAGCGGCGTTCCTCAACAGTCAGTGTTGGGACCAGTGCTGTTCAACATCTTTGTTGGTGACATGGACAGTGGGATTGAGTGCACCCTCAGCAAGTTTGCCAACAACACCAAGCTGTGTGGTGTGGTCAACACACTGGAGGGAAGGGACACCATCCAGAGAGCTGGATGAGGCTGGAGAGGTGAGCCTGTGCAAACTTC